GGCAGCCCACCTGTGCTTTCTTCATTCCCCAGTCCAAAGGAGACCAGGCGTTTCCCCTCGCCCCAGGATGGGGCCACCACCTGTCTCAATTTCTAGACCCAGACTCACAGCCAAGCCATGCGTGCCTGTCTGTGCAGGATAAGACACAGAACCACCTGGTTCGGGGAAGACAGCCCTGCAGGGTGGGAGACAGCACTGAAGGGTGGGTTCTCCTTCTGGAAGTTCTGGCCCCAGGCCCTGCTTCCATCCTGACCCAGCACAGCCAGGCAGATGGGGGCAGGGGTGCTCAGGAAATGCACAATGGCTTGGGACAGATGAGTCAGGTGAGCAGAGGAGGGGCCTGGATCCCATGCCACCAGCTGTCCCTTGGCTTCCTTCTGCAGGGGATGGGAATGGTTTGGGGGCAGCTAATGTCCTTCCCTGGGGATTTGGCAGGTCCTGAGCCAGGGTCTTGTAGCTGATGCCCCCCACCTCTGCAGTCTTGCATCAGGTTCTGCCAACCTGTTGGAACAAACACCGCCTGGTTGCCATGGTGATCCTAATGGCTTTGGGGTGAAGAGACGAGAGCCTGCAGCTGCTGTAAACAGGAAGTTAGGAGGGGCAGCTGCCAGTGGAGGGGGCCCCTACTCACACCCCCATCCCAAGCTCTGAGGGGAGCTAAGGGGCTGGGGGCCAGCGATGTCACGAAGATGCACCAGCCGCTAAGACTAACACCACGCAGCCTGTCAGGGCAGAGGGTGCCTGGAGACCTCACCACTCTTTTTTGCAGGTAGGGAAACTGAGGCCCAGAGAGGCCCAGAGAGGGGAAGGGGCTTGTTCAGGGCTACACAGCAACAAGCTGGGTCCCAAACCCAGCTCTGGGCCTCTGTTTCCCCAGGAAAGCATAATCCTCAGGGTCCTTCCCTCCACAAACATTTCCTGGGGAGGGAATGATGGTCCTGTTCGTGCCGACCCCTTCATTCTCCCACAACGTCCTGGGTCAGACTCCTTCCCTGCCACACTCCTCCACTGCCTTGGGCCTCAGTTTCCCCCATTAGTAAAACGGAGATAGCAGCAGCAGAGCCCACCTCTCAGCAGGGGGAGGGGATGGGCTTACCATGGAGCAAGTGCTGGTTAGAGTCAGCTGCAGCTCCTCCAGTCCACGGGGGATGGGAACTGGAGCCACCATTGCCCAGGACCCTCCAGTGGCCTTGGGAGGGTCTCTTTCCTTCAGGGACTTAGTTTTGGCCTCCGCAGTTTGGAGGTTTAAGCTCATCCTTGTGCGATCCCACAGCCAGTAGAGGACAGGGAGGGACGCCCCAGGCCTCAAGCTGAAGGATTTACCTTGGCCCCCTTGCCCCAGGCCCCCCACAGCGGTTCTGAGCTTGACGGGCTGTGAGGGGGCAGCTCGGGGCATGCACAGGAGTTAGGGCACAAGACACCCTGCCTATGGGGATCAGGGCTCGGTGGGTCTTGTGGGGAGGTGGGTTTACTTGTGGAGCTTCCAGCTGGAAAGGGTCTGGCAGACAGGGTGAGTGGCTTTTCCTTCTTAGGGCCAGGAGAAAAGCACCAGGCTCTGGGCAAACACTCTGATGGCTGCTGACAGGCAGGGAGAAGGGGCCTCAGAGGTGAGAGACATCCTGGTAAGTCCAGGGCACTGCCATCACTTTTAATAATGCATGAAATCACGCCCTATGGTGGCAGCCCTTGGAATTGCAGGCACAGCCTCCTAGCAGTCAGGCTTCTCCCACAGCTCTCTGACCCCCATAGCACCTGTCGGAGGACAATGGCAGGAAAAGCGGGAAGGGAGGTGGATCACAGGGAACTCATGGGCACATAGCCTGGGAATTCGGGTCAGGGTCCCTGCCTGCCCTGGGCTGGAGGACCCTGAGGGACTGCAGGAATCTGTCCCATTACCTGTGCTATCCTGGGTGGTTCTGCCAGCAGAAGTGGTGGCTCCAGGTGAGAGGGGGTCTGGCCCACATGTAACCCCTTGCCTGGGGCACTTAACCAGAAGCCCAGTGAGGGTCCTGCTGCCAGCATCTGTGCAGGTGGAGCCTGTGCCAGGCTGGGTGCTCTGGGGCCTCAGGCCCGAGGTTTTCGTGGGGCTGGGGGTGGGGACAGAGCAGCAGCCCAGCCAGGGCTCTGCAGGTCTCCGTGAGGCCCAGGCGACCGGCGGCAGAGCTGGGAATGGGTCAGGTGCCTGGCTCCTCCATGCACATCCCTCTGCACACAGGAGGCCGAGGCACTCGTCCTCGCTCTGGGGCCCCAGATTCCTTTCTCAAGGCAAGAAAACCCCCCTTGGGATGGTTCACCTGTAAGAGCAGAGGCTGGGAGGGAAGGACCCAGGCTGGGGCCCTGCAACTTTCTTTTGCTGCTCCCTCATTATTTTCTTCTAAAAGCTCAGACAAAACAGCTTCCTGACTGAGGCCCGAGGCTTTGGGCAAGTGGCAAAGTCCGTAGGGTCTGAGGAACTACGGGTGGATGGGACCCAGTGCTCTAGCTCCTCTGCCAGGCCCACGGCCTCTGCAGATGGGGTCACAGTAGTCTGGAGGCCTCCAGATGAGCCTCCTGACCACTGAGGCAGGACACCCCCAGGCTCAGCACCAGGGTTGGCTGGGGACAGATCTGGACCAGCACCCCTTGGGCCCCTCCCTGCTGGAGTTGACTTAGACCAGTTGGAGCCGGCCCAAGTCAGTGCTCGGGGGCCCTCCAACCTGGCAACACGTCGCCATGGCAAGCTCAAACTGGAGGCAGGGCCTGATGTATGGTAGGAGGGCTTTGGGCCGCCTGGTCAGGGAGCAAGGTGGCCTCATGGGGGTGGGCAGGTGTGAGGACACAGTGCTGACTCGGCCAGGACAGTCCAGGGAGGCCAGGGGGGACCCCCAGGGACCCAGAGGCCAGCCAGGAGCCTATCTGGGCTCCAGGCAGAGTGGTTCCTGGGGAGATAGGCTCCCAGCTTGTCCTACCTGTGGTCAAGTTCTCCTAGAAGCTCCAACACTGGGTTCCTTGCTCTGCACCCGTGTAACAGCCTGGCCCGAGCCAGTCCTGGACAGTGTCCCAGGGGCCTGGTCAGGGTCTGAGCCAAGGGTTCACAGGCACTTTGGCACCATGAGGATGGCATCCTGGTGCCCCAGGGAGGTCCACCCTGGCGGTGAGAAGGAGGTCCCCATGGGGGGAACCTGCTCCAGCAGGCCAGGGAGGTACAGGCGAGACTCAGGGGACAGGGCCAGGGGTCAGTGCAGGATGTGGGCCCAGCCTTGGCTGCCCACGCCCCAGCCTCAGAGGCACAGACCGGGGGATTCAACCTTGGCTCTAGGGAATGTCACCCTCTGCCACTTGCGGGTCACTGAGCATCTGATGCTGGAAGCCGAGGGAGGAGGCGGCTCTAGCAGCTCCTGGGCCAGCAGCACAGGACCCTGGAATTGGCCAGCCTGGCTCCCCTGACACCGAGCATGAGGCAGCCTGTGCAGACGGAGCAGGAAAAGGACACCCTGCAGGCGGCAGTTAATGGAAATGTTTTAATTAGAGGATTTTTAGATACAATGGTTAATCTATAGCCCACAATTCCTTACTAATTATTAGGCGCCTCATGCTGGGAACATACGCTCTTCACTTACAGTAGAAACAGGATCATCGCATTTCATAGTTCTTGTGTTACAAGATTCACATCTTTGTTAAGCCAAGGACTGTGGCACAAAAGGACATTTCATTAGCCGAAGTCACGACAATTTGCTAGAAACACTGATTACTTTAGAATGCTTTAACTAGAAAATATATTGAATTTCCATATATATTAACCATATACATGTATAACTATTACTAAGAGTAGTTCGGTCATTACAAAATAAGACATTCTGGGAGAGGCTACAAATACACAACCCGTTGGACCCCCCAAAGGCCCTCTGTGCCCAACACATTGCGGACATCAAACTGGGAGCTCAACAGCTCGACACATCCAGCTCAGTGAGCTGGGAAGGCACTGGGGCCTTGAGCCAAAGGTGCTGTGAGCTCAGAGGCCCCCAACTTCCACCACGATCCTGTTGCCAGGCCACATGTTTCTCAAGGCGAGCCTTGGCCCTTCCTGACTGGGGGCCCAGGTGACCAGTCCTCCTCGAGCTCCTATGGGGATCATCCTGCCCCTGGGTCTGTGGGCCGGAGCCACAGGTGCAGGGGTCCCCCAGCAAGGGTCTTCAGGGTGGGAGGGCAGGCTGGCTCCAGGCTTCGTTGGGACCCGGAGGCCAAGAACCCACCTTGGCAGTGCCGGGGTGCAGGACGTGGGCCCGGCCCCCTCTGCTACTTCCCAGCTCCATCTTCGGCACCTCCTGCTGAGCTGGGGACCCAGGCCCACTCCGACAGCGTCGAGGATGTCAAGGAAGTTCTGCAGCTTCAGCGGCCTCACCCGTGGTGCTTTCAGGAAAGTGGCCTCCAGGCAGAGCAGGATCAGATGATTCAGGAAAAGGGAAGAGCCTGAGGGGCAGGTGGTGGCCAGTTGCTGCTTTCAGGGTGTCCTGGTGCCAGGACCACCTGCGTCTGGCGGGGACACGGGGACGCTGATGCGCAAGCACAGGAGTGGGGGTTGGTGGGAGTTGCGGGGAGGGATGGCGCAGGTGCTACACGTAGAGGCTGGGGCAGCTGCTGAGGCCAGGGCGCTGCTGGGCAAGAGGAGGCCACACACCTCACCCGCAGGTTGGGCTCCATTGCCAGGGCCCCGCCACCCTCAGCCGCCTGCGATGGCACTGAGGGGGCGAGCTGCTTGAACGGCAGTCCTCCCCGGGCCCGCCTGGCCTGGGTTAGGTGTCTTGTCCTCCTGATGGCCCAGGTGGTGCAAGCTTTACAAGGGTCTCGATGCCAGTTCCAACCTGACCAGACCAGAACTCTCTAGCACTCTGCAACCCAGAGCACTGGCATTGGGGGGACAGAATACACAGCACTATTTACAGAGGATGGGGCCGAGTGGGGGGTGCTGGGCACACGGAGGTCACCTCCTCACTTTTAATGATGATAATGCAACAAAAACCTTTATATAAACAGTTTATTTACTCTAAACAGCAACACAGACAAACGCCATATAAACACAAAGGAAGTGATGCGGAAACGCAACGCTGGCTGACTGTGGATCTGAGGCTCGTAAGCAACACAAGCCGGGCTCTGGGAGAGGAGGCAGTGGGGCGGGGCAGGTCTGATTTTCTGTTTCGTGCAGCCAGCTGAAGGCTAAGTGCAGCTCTAGACGGCGTGAAGCATGCCTGCATCCGCGAGCAAAGGAACTAGCTCCTTGGGACTCATTGAAGTATAAAAGTTTATAATTTTACAGCAGTTGAAATACTGACATCAATATTAAAATAAAAGCAAGTTTTACATAACAATCAAAAATACAAAAGACTGAAGGAAGAGACCCTGTATGAAAAACTGGGCGATTCAGCGAGCTGAGACTGTACCAGTGGCGGAAATGGAAAATGGCGCCCGCCCAACCCTCCCCAGGTGACCAGTAATTGTAGAGAGCAACGTTAGATTTGCAAAAATGTTGTAAACAAGTTCTTGCCACACCAATCCCTTCCTTTTTATGATGCCACAGGTCGCTGCTTATGAGGGAGCAAACTTCTTGGCTTGTGCTCGAACCCTTTTCTCGTATTCCACTCTGTTTTGGCTGAGGAGGTCAAAAGAGAGACATGTTAGAAGGTGCGGCCGCTGCCCGAGGGTGCCCAGGAAGCCTGGAGCGCATAAGCGAGGAGGTCTCGGGGGCACCGGTCCGGGGCCAAACTGGGAAGAGGGTGAGCCCTGTGGGTTTGCCGGTCTGGTCAGCGACCAGCAGCTTCTTTCCCCACCTCTGAGGCAGCATCCATCATACGTCACTGGAGGAAACAGATCTCCCAGTACCATCTGCTTCAAAACCAGACACAAACCTCTGGGGGGTTTGGCCTCGGCTCTCAGTACCGCGGGAGAAGGTGCGAGCAGCTTACGGCAGCCAGGCAGGACCCCAGCTGGGGCTCTAGGGTGAGAACCACCGCTGATAAAAGGGGCCAGTGTGCATCGCCCAGAGAGAAGATATTTGCAGACAGGGTTCCTGGACACCCAGTGCTGGGGCTGGTCAGTGACCCTCACAAAGGTGTACAAAGCCCCCGCTAAGAAAGTCAGGGGTCCTTCCAAGCTGTGCTGTGCAACCAGCGAGGCCCCTCAGAGAGCAGCCCACAGCCTGAGGCCCAGCTGTAACCACAGCCCAGGCACGGGGTGGCAGAAGCTCCTCAGCTGCACCACGGTGCCGACGGCTCCAGTGCCCAGGACCCTGCCTGTGGCCTCCCTTGGGAATGGCTGCAGCGCCAGCAGCGGGAGAGGCAGAGCTGCTGGTGCGGCCCTGTGCTGGCCCAGTGCCAAGGAGGCTGGTGTGGCCCTGAGAGCTAGAGAGTAAGGTCACGGGACCAGCGCCTACGGTGGTCTGAGTGCACCCACCCCCAGCCCGTAATCTTCGACCCTGGCTCCCAGTGTTGTGTCAAGCCCAGGCCACCACAGCCCCAGGGCGGAGGCAGTGGCCGCGGAGCTTTGGAAGGAGTGGGCGGAACAGCCAAGTCCAGCTCCGCCACTGACCAAGTGAAAGCTGGGACGGGGCTGCAGGCACCTGCCAGTGTAGGACGTGCCCTGTGACCTTTTGGAAGCAAGGTGGGAATGCGGGCAGACCCCACCAGCCTGGGCCAGCACCGACCACACAACCAGAAGAGCCTCGGTGCCTGACGGTGCAGAGCAGTGTCCCATGGTACCTTGGCCACACGCCGCTGCCACCAACACAGGAAACCTCGGCTCTGCTCTATGAGCAACAAGGAGACATCTCAGGCTTGAGGGCCACACGCCTCTGTCGCAAGGACTCAGCTCAAACGAGCACCCCAGTGGCCTTATTTACAAAGGGTGCAGGGCCAATGGGGCGCGGCAGTGAAAGCACACAGCGCCCAGCTTGAGGTCAGGGCAGGAGTCGCTGATGCTCCACTCGAGCCATTGAGCAATGCCCACTGGTGGGAAGCCCCAGGGAAGAGGCCAGACTGAAGTCCGGAGTGGGTGGGCCAGGGGGCTCTGGGACCTTGGCCCTGCCGGGGGGTATCTTCTACCCTTAGACAACACTGGGCTGGGCCCAGAGACCTGAGCCATCTTGGGAAGAGAAATACCACTCCTGCAACGTGGTACTTCTCTCAGGTGGACTCACAACAGCTGGGGTGCCGGCTGCTCAGAGCAGCCCCAGGACAGTCTCAGCCTCTGCTTTACCCTCCACCTCCCACTCCAGATGCCCTCCAGGAAGGAACAGGCCCCTGCCTGGCCTCTCCCGAGGGCCAGCCCCTTGGGTCCCAGGCCACTGGGGCACCTGGGCACTGTTCTCAGAAAATGTTCTCTGTTCCCCAATTTCCCTCAGGTGTGGGCCTGGGTTTCCGAACATGGGCAGATGGAGCAATGGGCGTCAGAGCCCCAGCCTAGATTAACGCCCCGTCCAGACCAGCCTGGGAAGGACCACAGGCTCACATGCCACGTTTAACCACTGCTCACCCCAATTATTACATCATACCAGGCCTCCTCCCTCATCATGGAGAGTGGATGCAGGACTCACGTGCCATGCGGGGAAGGGCCAGGCATGGAGTGGACGCCTGGCACTGGGGGGTGGGAGGTGGGGTAGGGATCACAGCAGCTGGGTGGCCAAGAGCAACCTGATCATCACGCCCCCACTGACCAGCCCCATTGGAGGCACCACACCCAGGTGGGACCAGGAAGAGGGGCTGGAGATGGGGAGAGCAGCAGGAGGGCCAAGGTGGGAGGTCTGGGGTCCCTGGTTGAGCTGGGTTGGTGGACATCCCTCCCTCAGGGCCCCACTCAGGGGGATGTTCCCGCTGAGCTGGACCAGAGTCCCAGGGCCGGCCCGGCTACAGCTCAGACACAAAGTGGTCAACATTTGAGCTCCGCTTCCTGACACCCACCCCACCCCGCGGGTCACCTGTTTCTGCACGCGCAGATCCCTTGGCTGCAGGACAGCCCAGCTGCTGTGTCTCACCCCCCCCACCGCTGCCTCCCAGCCAGGCTGTCAGGGGCAGCCTAGACCAGACTTCAGGGAGGCCAAGAAGAAGTTGCAGCAAACAGGGCTGGATTGCTACTAACCAGTAGATCGTGTAGGCCTCTGCTTGAGCTGGGTCTTGGATATTTGGTTCATTTAGAAGTTCCTGTATTCCTAATAAGATCTGCGTAAGAGACAAAACAAACACAGCAAAGTGGGAGGCCAGCGGGCTGAAAGGCAAACTTTCCCGGGATGGAGGACCACTGGCCCTCGGGCCCTGAAGGGTGGAGGGAGCGCGCACTCCATACCTGCTTAATCGTGATGGCCGGCCTCCAGTCCTTGTCCTCCTCCAGGATGGACAGGCACACTGTGCCTGAGGGGTACACGTTCGGATGAAATAACGGCGGTTCAAACTTGCCTGGAGCAAAGGGAATGAAAGAAACATGTTTCTGGTGGCAGGTGTCTTCCTACCAAGTAATGTCCTGCCCCGAAGGTGCCTCTCCCCCTACACTGGGGCACCTGGCTGGTCACCAGGCACCTGGCCAAGAACTACTTAGAAAAATGAAACTGGCCCCGAGGTGGGAGGAGTAAGCAGCCACCTTCCTGACAGACTCAGAGGGGAAGCCACGTGCTCCCAGGACCCCACCTGGGGTGGCTGGCATTCAGAGCACAGAGCCCCAGATGGCTGCCCCCATGTCCTCCCAGCCGGGTTGTGGCCTGACTCAGGAAAATGGGAAGGGGCCACTGCAGCAGGTGAGGAGGGTCCTGCGGGAAAGCCAAGGGCAGAAACTCAGAGGCCCTTCCAAACAAGTGGCCATTTTCAAAGCAGACCATCCTGCTTCAAAACGGAGGCTTTTAGGACCCCACATTCTTCCTTCAAAAACAAAATAACACAAAGCAAAAAAAGTTAATTTTATTTTTTAAAAAAAAAATTAAAAAGAATACATGTAGGAAATTTGAAAACATAAAAGAGCAGAGAGCAGCAGGGACTTCCCTGATGGTCCAGTGGTTAGGACTCTGTGCTTCCACTGCAGGAGACGTAGGTTCAATCCCTGGTTGGGGGACTAAGATCCTGCATGCCTTGTGACACAGACAAAAATAATAAAGGAAAAAAAAAAGGCAGGAAAAAATTGCCATAATGAGCCCCACCCAGGGTCCGTTAGCTCACCTAACATGTGTTTTTCTCTCATCTGGGCGCTTTCCCCCTTTCTCTTGATTTTTAAAACATTATTTAATTATACCCAGAAAAGTTCAGCTAGTACACTTGATGAATTACCAAAAATGAACACACCCACTCATACCAACAGCTTCCAGAAAACTCCCTCCCTCCCTCACCTGCCTCATTATCCCAACTTGTACACCCACCCCGCCCCCAGACCAGGACTCGCAGCTCTACACCCAGGGGTCAGTTTGCACCTTGCTGCCACACAGGCCTCGCTGGGAGAAGCTGCCCATGGACTTGCCCACCCCACCGTAGGTGCACATCTGAGCTACTACGACTGAAGGTGCAAACATTCCTGAACGTGAATTCTAGTGCACACAATGTGAAAATGCTGGGTTGCAAGGTGTCCATGTTGAACTTGAGTAGATACTGCTCATTTCCACAGCGGCTGTATCAACTTACATGCCGCCAGCAGGGTCTGCATGTTCCCATGCTTTGTGACTTTGCCAGCCCCTGGTGGTGTCAGCCATGGAATTCAGCCACCCTGATGACATTGGCTGCCTCTCATGGTTCTGATTTGCATTTTCCTTTCACTCCCTGCGACGCACTTGCTGCTTCTTTGGAGAAGCTCTTTAAACCTCTCACATGCTTTTCTTGTTGACTTGCAGATGCTCTTTATATGTGCAGGACACAGGCCCTTTGTTATTTGTCTCCCAGCACTCCCCAGCCCCTCACCCCCATCTCAGGTGACTGGCTGCCTTCCCTCTGTACCAGGTCACCCTCCTGACTCCTAACACTGCCATCACATGGACTGCTGACCTCCACAAACGGAACCTGGTCCAGCTCCTTGGCATCTGGGAGACTCACTCATGTCACTCATGTCACAAACACTCACAGACTCTTCCTTCTCTCTGCTGCAGACTGTCCCACTGTTCATCTGTCCGTTCTACTGTGAACAGACACCTGCATTGCCCCCAGCTTTTTCCAGACACGCCGCCCAGGCCTTTCGGCGTGCACGCTTGCACTGGGTTTCTCCTCAGTGAACAGCCGGTCCCAGGGCAGGTGTTAAGTGTAGCCTCAATAGACAAACTGAGAGCTTTCTGAGGGAAGTGCTCTCTAGAGCTGGGCCCCTCCCTCCCCACTGCCTGCCTGTTCCCGCTGGGTTGTCACTTGCAGTGTCTGGTGATGAGGTCAGGTACCTTCCCCTGTGCCCACTGGCTGGGTGGAGAGCCTCTTTTGGGAAGGGCCTGAGCTAATGGCGGTTTGCCCTTTCTCACTGAAGTGCAGATGCTCTTGATGTATTTGGAACGAGAACTGACAAACACATCCCCTCTCTCTCCTCACTCTCACTGGTAATCTCCTGGTGAGGAGACAGTCTTGATTTAAATGCAGTCCAGCTCATACTTTCTCTCCTTATGGTTAAAGTGCTCTCAGCCCATCCACGTGATGGAGAGGTCCTCCCGTCTCCTCCACAGCTGTACTTCCCACCGGGCACCAAGATCCGCAGAGAGCGAGCTCTCCTTCCACTGGGCCCCCCAGGCCTCCCAGAGTTGCCTCTGTCATCAGCCAAGCTTGTATACGGCTGGCCTCTCTGGACTCTGCCTTGCAGGCCTGTGTCTCAGTGTCCCTGCAGCAGGTCTCGGCCCGCTTTCCATCTTGCCGTCCTACAGGTCTGGGTGCTCTCCTCACCCAAGCGGCCTCACAATCTCCCCCCACAGATCTCCAACGGCACAGCTGTTCTCAGCACCCTGCATCTCCTGCATTTTAGAGTCTGCGTGACAGTTTCCAAAGAAGTCTGCTTGTGTTGTGACTGGGATCACACTGAACCTGCAGAAGAGCTGGGAGAGAACAGGCAGGCACGTGCACTCAGTCTTCCGAGCTGTGCACACAGCCTGTCCTGCCAGGGATCAAGGCTGCCCCTGATCCTTGCAGAAACATCTGATCATTTTCAGCGGAGAGATCTTTTTTTTTTGGCCATGCCTTGGGGCTTGTGGGATCTTAGTTCCCCGACCAGGGATTGAACCCACGCCCTTGGCAGTGAAAGTTGGACCAGAGAATTTCCTTTTAAATTTATATTTATTTATTATTTTTTTGGCTACACTGGGTCTTAGTTGCAGCACGTGGGATCTTTGTTGGGCATGCAAGATATTCCGTTGCAGCATGCAGGCTTCTCTCTAGTTGTGGTGTGTGGGTTTTCTCTCTCTAGCTGTGGCACGCGGGCTCCAGAGGACGTAGGTTCCGTAGTTTGCGGCACGCAGGCTCAGTAGTTGTGGTGCGCGGGCTTAGCTGCCCCGCGGCATGTGGGATCTTAGTTCCCTGACCAGAGATCAAACCCATGTCCTCTGCATTGGAATGTGGATTCTTTACCACTGGACCACCAGGTAAAGGGGCTTCCCCCCCTCTTTCAAATTACATAAAAAATTTTGTGAATGAGTCTTTTATTCAGCTATCTTAGACTCAGGGAAAGACTGTCTGCACTCTTGTCTTCCAGTTCTTCTGCTGGGATTTCTTTTTCTTGTCTGGCTCTGTCTTCTTGGAATTCCAATACAATGTAGAATAGAAGTGATGAAAGTAGCTATAATGTCTCATTTCTTGATTAAAGATGTTCTTTTTAAAATTTTTTTTGGGCAGCATTGGGTCTTTGTTGCCGACATGGGCTTTCTCTAGTTGCGGCGAGAGGGGGCTACTCTTTCCTTGCAGTGTGAGGGCTTCTCATTGCGGTGGCTTCTCTTGTTGCGGAGCCGGGCTCCAGGCACGTGGGCTCCAGAGTGCAGGCTCAGTAGTTGTGACACATGGGCTTAGTTGCTCCACAGCATGTGGAATCTTCCCAGACCAGGGATCAAACCCATGTCCCCTGCATTGGCAGGCGGATTCTTCACCACTGCACCACCAGGCAAGTCCCTGATTAAAGATATTCTTTAAGGTAATACCTGCACGTGGCAAAAAAATTCAAACAGCAAAGAACCACCCCAAATGAAATAAGTCTCCACCCCAGTGGTTAACTGTTAGTTTTAGAAATTCTTCTGGTTGTGCCTTTATAACAGACATCTTGAATTACGGACCACCAGAGTGAATGCTGACACAGTCTTGGTGCTGGGGGCACTCTTCACATGCTGGGGCATGTGTTAAAACACCCAATTAACCAGACACAGATAGCATCTGCTCATTTCCAGCTACAAAAGGGGAGGGACCTGGGGTCCCTTCTGAGTTTTGCTGAAATGTGTTCTGATGGTCTGGCCACTGCACTATCTCAGATGCAGACCTGGCCCTTTCTTCCTGCCGCCTTCTCTGGAGACTTCAGCACGCTATCCACCCAGGGTGCACACGCTGCACCACATAAATATCAAATTCTAACAGGCAACAAAACCCTCTTGGGGGTGAGGCTCTGGACCGCTGTCCTTCTGCATGTCCACCCAATCCAGGGCTGGAACTTGGTGGCACTAAGGGCCCACCTCCCAGTGATGAGAGCTGGGATTCTGGGTCTGAGACTGGGCCTATTATGTGCACCTCCAGCCACTGGGGGTACAAACAGACTCAAATCCACAGCCAGCCCCAGGGATCAGAGTCCCGGGAGCCACCCCAGGAGCAGAGCAGGACATGAAGCTCCACAGGCCCAAGCTCTCTGAAGGAACAGGCAGAAGCCGACCGACTTCTGAGGACTGCGTTCTACTTACATTTCGGGGGTGAGGATGGATAATCGTCTTTGAACAGCATCCGTAGTTTAAACAAGCCTCCTTCCCACGGAGTCTGTTGGGAAATAAAACTGTGATCAGGTGTGCTGCGGGCCTCTGCGGCGGGCTGGGCCCAGGAAGGGCAAGGAGCTTGCTCCAGCTGCACCCCAGGATGGTGAGGGCCCCCCAGAGGCGGCTCCTAATGGCTCATAGCCCACTAGCAGGACTGTTGGGGCCTCCATGACCCCCGAGTTGGAAAGGGACTTCCCTGGAGAGACAGGAGGCCCTGGAGGGCTCCCGCCGACACTGAGTGGGTACAGTGAAGACTTGGCGGGGGGCATTCTGTGAGGCTCCTCCCTCAGGTCCCATGGGTCCCTGGGCAACCTCCCAGTTCCACAGCCCAACACCCCTCCCCACCCGCCACCCCCAGGCCTACTCCTGCTGTATGCTTACAACCAACCATGGGTAGGAGAAAATGGAGACGATGAAGCCCTGTCATCACCCAGACACCTCAGGAGTCTCCTCCTTCCTTCCAGTTCACCCAAGAAGAGACCCTCCCTCCCAAATGTTTCCAACGTGCCAGTCCTAACGGACCCAGGCACACTCAGTTGAGCGGAGGAGGCAGCACCGTGGCCCACGAGTGCAGGACAGGCGGGGCCCCACATGGCTGTCTTAGGTGGCTGATGCCGGGCCTGTGTGTCTAAGGATCTGCAGGTGTCCCAGGCTCAAGACCCACACCCCCCGCGCCCCAGAGCATCGCCATGTCTGGGCTGCTTCAACCTCAGCCCCCCTCCACCCCCTCCAGGGCTCCTCCTGCTCCTGGGACGTGGCAGGGGGGCTGCATAACGCCACCCCTCCCCATCTGCTACAGCCCAGCTTCTTTATGAATTAAGACTGCCCGGAGGGCCACATGTCACCCTAACCTTGTCCCCCTGGCCAGGGGATGGGACCACGGCCCGCGTGACCATCACAATCATCACACACACTTGAACCTGAGTCCTTCTGAAGGGGGGCAGCCCCTCTTACCCCCTTCTTCCCGGGAATGGCGCACTCCCAGTTCATGAGGTTCATCGTGCCGTCGGGATTTTTTGTTGGGACGGCCACAAAACCCTGAGAGGAAACAACACAGGGCACATCAGTGCCGTGGCAGCCAGTTCCCTGCTCCCGGGATAAACCCGCCAGCATCAGCCCAGAGGCCAAATGGCCAACCCGCAGGGACCTGATGTTCTTGTCAAGGGGAAACCATCACCCTGCCACACGCAGAAGTAAAGCTTTCCTTACAAACGGGTGGTCTTTTCTCCAAGCTTTCCTCTCCTGGGCGAGTCTGCTGAGGGCGATCCCCGACATGTTTGCGTCCCTAGAAGAGACGGGCAGAGTGTTCGATGAGCACCGGCAGCTGTGGGCCCTCTGCCCCCTCACCCCGTGCCCGGCCCAGCCCAACAGACTTGCTTCCAAGAAGCAGGGAAACCAAGGTTCCCACCTGGCCCCACACGCCGCTCTGGACAAGCTGTCACGGATCCCCCCACCCTGGGGTGGGGGGGATGCTCCCAGCCTCCTGGTGCAGGCAGCTCACCAGGGAACAAGGAGCGGGTCTCCCGTCCCCAGGCCCCCATGGCATGCGCAGTGACCTGCATTTCATGGTGACACAGAGCTCCAGAGAAGCAAAGCCCCAGGCCCAGGTCACACAGCTGCCAGGTGCTGCATGGGGAGGGGCACCATGCACTCCCAGCAGCCACCTGCCCACTAGCCCTGCTCTCTTTGTCCTGTGGCACCTGCTGGAGTGACAGGGACCCCAATTCCACCAGACTGCATAGCAGAGGCAGGGAAAAGATGGGGACGTCCAGAGCGCAGGCCCGAGACCTGGGAGGGGCAGTCCCCGCGCACTCCCTTTGCCGGTGCAGGGACGTGGGGGTGCTGGCAGGCCTCCGGCCCAGAATCGGGGGCTCAGAATCTAGACTCAGGCCCGGCCAGGAGGAGAGCCCTGGTCCTGGAAGTCAACCAAGAGGAAGGCAGCCCTGGGCAGAGAGCAGTTTAACCATGCAAGGGGTGGGGGCTGCACAAGTCCAGAGGCAGCACCCCCCCTCCCACCAGCATCCAACAGACCCACCTGTCACCAGGCCTGGGGGCTCGGGCCTTCCCTGGCCCCTGCCACTTTCTCATCCTACAGCCCCACCCTAGGACCCGCTGCCACTCCACCTGTTGTGAGTGGGCCAAGACCTGTCTCCCAGTGACTTTGGGAAAGTCAACAAAAGGGGGAGCAGGCCCTGCAGCCAAGCTACGCAAACTCCTGGTCTCTCCTGAATATCGGCTGCCTGGCACCTCTGGACCACAGACCCTCAGGGCTTGGCGGCATCAGCCATTCAGATTCATTGCCTGGAGCCGTCAGCCCATCTCCCAGGTGCTGCTGATGCAGCACGCAGACCAGACCAGGCATGGGGCACTCTTATCGTAACCCCTGCTGCCCTCGACCTCCTTCTGCCCACGAGAACGCGACCCTTAGGGACTTCCCTGATGACCCAGTGGTTAAGAATCTGCCTTCCAATGCACAGGACGCGGGTTCGATCCCTGATGGGGCAACTAAGCCCACACGCCACAACTAAGAGCCGAAAACTTGAAGAATTTGACCCCAAGTGTGTTTGCTGGTCTTCAGAGTCCATGGGAACATTCAAGATACCCTGAATCAAGTATTTCCATTAAGCAAGGCTTTAACAAGACCCAGGAGAGTATCCTACACGTGCATGGCCGGTGGCTTGCCCCCACCCTGCAGGCTTGCACCGGAGGGCCCGGGGACAGGCCCCCTCTGCACCTCTGGCAGGGAAGAGGTCCAGCACCTCGAGTTCCCTAGGACAACACGGGGCACCCTCCGCAACCACAACACGGCTCTCAACCAGGCAGAGAAGAACAAACTTCTGCCAAAGACAGAACTGGAAACCAGCCGTGCTTCCCAGCTGTGCTGGCCCTGACCCAGAGTTGGGGACCACCAAGCCCGTTTTAAACCTGAGAAGGGAAGATCAGAAGTAACCTGCCCACTGAGGGAGGAGCCTCAACTCAAACCCAGGGGGTCTTTCCACTCCCGGCAGGAGGGCTGCTCCTCTCTGCAGCCCCTGCCTCATAATCACTCCTGCAGCCCCCTCCCTTGGCTAAGGCTGACCCCCAAGTGCTCCAGCAATCCAAATCAAAACCTTGTTGCAGCATCTGCTGGGACACTCTGCCCCCAGGCCTCAAACAACACAAACACGCCCACGCTCCTGCAGGAGAGGTGGAGTCAGGTCAACAATGCAACAGCAGACCAGCCAATCAGTGGGGCCCTGGGCGGCTACCTCACTGGGTGCTGGTTACAAGGGCACGTCCCCAGACCCAGTGGCCCCATGGAGCCAGGAACTCTGCGGGGATCTGGCTCTTGGACTCCCCAAGAAGTAAGCATAGCTGGGGGGGGGGGAGGGGGGTTTGGGATGGCCCCCACAGCCTCCAGCATCACCCACGAGCCCAGGTCTCAGGAAGTGAGGTGAGTTACTGCAAAACACCAGAGCAACGGGATGTGGTGTGTCATCAAGAAACGGAGGTGGGTTTGGGATGGCCACCACAGCCTCCAGCATCACCCACGAGCCCAGGTCTCAGGAAGTGAGGTGAGTTACTGCAAAACACCAGAGCAACGGGATGTGGTGTGTCATCAAGAAACACATATACTCATGTCATCATGAAAAAAAGCGAGGGTCAAAAATCAAAGCCCCGGCTTCCCTGGTGACACAGTGGTTAAGAATCCGCCTGCCAATGCAGGGGACATGGGTTCGAGCCCTGGTGGAGCAGATGCTGCGGAGCAACTAAGCCCCTGCACCACAACTACTGAGCCTGCACTCTAGAGCCCGTGCTCCACAAGAGAAGCCACCACAATGAAAAGCCCGCACACGGCAACGAAGAGTAGCCCCAGCTCACCACAACTAGAGAAAGCCCGCGTGCAGAAACGAAGACACAACACAGACAAAAATAAATAAATTTATATATATAAAAAAATCAAAGCCCCCCACTCAGCAGGCATGGTGACAGCAGCTGCTGCCCTGGCAGCACTCTGACCCGAGCACACCTTCTAAAAGGCTATAATCCTGCCCAACCTCAAGATTAAGTCCAAGACAAGTAACACCAGGCCTGCACCCGAAACAGAATTTCTTTGCCACCCCCCAACCCCAGAGCTCTGGTCTGCCCACTTCCTCCCCATCCGTGGACCCGACCATCAGTAACACGTCTAGGATCTCCTTCCCTGGATGGCACACCTCTATCTGCTATTTTCATTCATTCATGCAACATAAATTGAGGAACGGTATGAGTGTCGCTGCCCGGACGGCTGACATGGGGAGAAGTGCTAGGTGCCAGGAGACACAAAGCAGGATGACTACGAGACGGGCGGCACCTGGGTCCTAATGGTGGTCAGGTGGCTGCCTGGACACAGCCTGCAGCAATAGGCTCAGTGCAGGAACATAAGAAAGAGCCGGAAGGGTGGGCACTGGTCCAGAGGGCCTGGGATTGCCTGATGGAGGTAGGGAGATGCAGGGGATCAGGGCACAGGAGAGCACCAGCCGCTTTTGTCTTTAAGACTTTCTCTTGTCGGAGGCTAGGGCAGTAACCCCAAAGTCTGTAAAACCTTCATTCCTGAGACTTTCTCAAGCCCTTCAAATGGCTCTTCTAAATAGAACTCAACCCCACCTCATCCCCAGGGCTGGTGGGAACGACCCCCCCACACGGGGCTTGAGGGATGTGGAGGATGTCCACAGCAAGCCCCTCACCAGCCAGGGCAGAGCACACAGCATAGGCTGGCGGCCACCTCTGAACTAATGAATGCAGAAGTTCAGCAGCAGAAGACAAGCAGCTGGCGTGAGGTTCCCGAGTCTGCGCTCGGCCAGGCGTCAAGACTGGTTTCTGGAGCCCCAGGGCAGCACTCTGGACACCGAGGATCCGTGGATTCCGGAATGGGCAAGCCAGTACTCGGGCGGCTCTGGAGGGGCAGGGCTGGGCCAGGATGCAGGAGAGGCCAGCAGGGCAATCCTGAGCACCGCCTGTATGCTGACCGCATGCCAGGACCCTGCCACAGGCCACCTCTTCTGCTGACAACGGACAAAGCTGCCTCTGCAGGCCCTGTCCAAGCACTAGCTGTGGTTGTCTCAGGTGCAAAAGGTAATGGCGGGGGGTCCCCACAGGAGTTCCTGCAGCCCCTTCCTTAGGGGTGCCAATGGACCAGAGTGGGAACCAAAAAGACTGCTTCCACCACCAGGGCAAACAGCCACAGGTGCACACCTGCACTGTCCCAGGCAGAGATCTGGTCTCCTGCTCCTCAGGAGAAAGCAGCCAATTTGGTACATTTTAATTACAACATGGAGCCACTCCTTCAGAATCGCACTTAGGATGGAATCTGCCTTCCCCAAATGACAGAGAGGCACTTAAGGAGCAGTTAAGTGTTACTAGACACTTTAAAACAGCAAAATCATAAGATATGAAAATAAGATATCTATGAACTGCTAAAGACAGCCTGTAGGGGAGGACCCGGGTTCTCCAGGGAGACCCTGGAAATCTGCCATCATCTTCTTCCAGATCGGGCTGTACTTGAACCCGCTCTTCTAGCTGACAGGAGACTTCAGAGCCACTTACTGGCTGCATATGTGGGCGAGTGGATTCTACCACTCTCAACCTTCTCACCTGTAAAATGGACAATAGCACTGTGACCCCACAGGTTGGCCGGGGATGAAACTGATAAAGGATCAGCAGCCCCGTATGGGTCTTTTTCACCCAAACGTAAACTCCCCAGGGGAAGGCACTGGCTTCACCTGATGCAGGCACCCCGCACTCAGGAGACACTCCAGACCAGTTGCAGTTCCCTGTTCTTTCCTGACATTACTTCCCAGGACCCCAGGCCGTTTCTGAAGCAAGGACCCAAACCCCCAGCAAGATTCACCAGACAAAGGTGCAACAAGATACAGAATTCACGCCTAAACCACCCGAAAGGCCATAAACAAGTCAGGACAAACTTGGGATCCATCTCTCTTTTCTATTGGGTAGGTTTTCTATCCAAACGCACGGTTTCCTTAAGAGCAAGAAACATTTAGGACTACAGGCTTTAAAAGGAGACCAACAAAAGCCAGCTCCGCAAACACAGAATAGTAACTTTGCTAACTGAAGAACTAAGCTTATTTCCAAATCATACAAACCAGACCAGTTAATTCCGAGATTTAGGGGCAAGTGCTGGTCTTTACCATGAGCCCAGCTAATCATCGCCTCGCCTTCCTCCTACTCGCCTAACTACCAGTTCCAGCCTCCGTGCAATTGGTACAAAGCAGTCTTGGGTGGAAATCTCCCCGTTAAGGGGAGCGCTAACACTCAGTGTCCCACCAACTGGGAGCGGAGCTCCGGAGGCGCAAGAGCTCGGACTTGTTTTCATTTCTAGGCATCACACGCCACCCCCCAAACGCGCCCGCGCTTCTGCAGCGCGCGGCTTTACACTCTTTGTGCGGTGCGTCCTCTCCCGGGCTGGAACGCGCCACAGGTTCGCGCGCACACCTTGACCCCGGAAACGCTCCGCCTCGGCGGAGGGCTCGGCGCTCCTGTCACCGCGGCCCGAGCGGCGGGCGCCGTCTGCGGCCCCGGACGCGACCCGCGCGCCGCGACCCGCCCGAGCGCGCGCCCGAGCGAACGTCCCCCGCCCCCCCGGGCCGCGACGGGCCGGGGCTCGGGCCGCGGGCCGGTGAGCCCAGCGGGCCGGCCCCCGCCACGGCGTCAGCAGCCCGGGGCGGGGCGGGTC